AAAACCCCAGCACACAGAATGCTAGCAAAGGTGATTATCTCTGCTAGCATAATTCCTCCGTAACATCTGCTTTCGCCCATAACACTCCACTAATTTTTCCCTCATTTCATTACACATAATTTTCTTTCAACACAATCTACATGTATTAAGTGGTAATGACTTTCCAGTTAAGAGCAAATCGACGCCAAGGGACCCCCCCCTCGATTGCCTGCCGTGCCTGACTCCGGCTATTAAAGATAAATTTGGTGCCTCAGAAAGCTGCAGTAAGCTAATCAATCAATTAAGCGGTTAGGACATACATTATCAAAATTCCACAGTGCGGGGGTGCATGAGTGCATGCTGATATACTTGGTATGAATTAAGGAATTTAAAAAAAATGCAAGCTACTAATGAATACAATTTGAGGTTGAAAGTCAGTAGTTAGTGTCTTCTGAATTAGAAAACTCAAGCTATTATACTATTGATACTAACTTTGGTTTCTGTGGGTAGATACCGTGCATTACAGGTTTTTCAAACTTAGATAGATATATAGATATGTGTGTGTGTGCCACACACACACACACACACACACACACACACACACACACATCTATCTATCTATCTATCTATCTATCTATCTATCTATCTATCTATCAAGTTTTAAAAACCTGTAATGGATGGTATCTACCCACAGAAACCAAAGTTAGTACACACACACACAGACAAGCATACTAATGACACAGCATGGAATGTACAACAGAGTCAAATCAGTGTTAAAACAATATTAAGAGTCTGATATAGAATAAGGCAAGGATACTCCCAGTTAAGGCAGCTGTTTTGTCTTTGACTTATCAATGTATTTCAGGTTATTGCAAATCGTGATTAATATTCCAGATCATTAAGTGCTGCAATATTGTGATTTAAAGACAGTGGGCCAATCATCACCCTGAATCTGTTGCCTTTAGTTAAATACATTGTTTAAGGTAACGTTAAAGATCTAACTTTCATGGGCATTTTAATGGTAATAAAAGAAATCTTCAAATAAATGCCTTCCATCAAAATGATAACCTATACTGATATCTTTAGCACTTTTTACACTTAATTATTACTCTGAAGAAGTTGTGCTCATCTATGATCGAACTGAATTTGGCTTTCTGAGTGCTAGGAAATGAAACAATTCTACTAGGCAAGAAAAGAATATTTGATACCACCTTTTAATTGATATTCATTTCTTTAAAAAAAAATTAACATTCTTGAATTTTAAAAATAACTTCATCAGCTAGAAGATAATGTTTCAATTACAAAAAAATCTTGTATTTGCATGGACAGCTTGTGTGCCAAATATTAGTCAAATAATACCACGTAAATTAATAGGAGCATAATCCCAAAGATTATGCAACTTTCTATCAATATTGTACAAGTTACTTTTCTGTACAGAATTGACATTAGAAATACAATCAGAGACTTAAATGAAACATTACAGTCATGGTTCTATATAGGACAAAACTAGATAAAAATAGTGAAACTTATGTTTTAAAGTAATCGGTAAAATCTACAAAATAGAAACTACAAACTTATTGTTACAAGGCTTTCCCAATTACTTTTCCTGTCAGTATTAACCATTTTGCCTAAAGCTTTGTTATCATTGTACTGTAGTTATCAGATGAAATGACATGGCAAAACTCTCTGCCTACTTTTCCAAGGGATTTTTCCCTTTCTGCAAATTGTATTGGAGTGGGTACAGCACATATACAAGAGGTGGTGAAAGTAACCACAAAGTATATCACCCTTTTACTGTCCACATAAATAATGTTCTTCAGAAAAAGAGAAGCAACTTGTTTAAAAAAAAAGAGAGAAGAGATTTTTTATAGTTTGTTTTGTTTTTCTTTTAAATTATATAGAAATAAAAGAAATAAGTCAGTCATTCTCTTCTGATACCTTTACAAATGCCTTGATGAAAATACTAAAAGGGAATATGCATTCATAAAATACACACAAACAGAACTTTATCAAAATCATGATTTGGTTTCTTCTGATTCTATGCAATATAATGTCTACAAAATGCTATTACGGAGTGCTAATAAAGTAAACGCAGAGTGATGAAGCATACCTATTGATAGCATAAAAATGTGTCCTTCAATAAACAAATGGCATGTTTCAATATTATAACTCTTGCCCTTGCTTCCTTGGCTTTCTCCATTGGTTTGACGGATATCAAAAAGGGGTCAGAGAAGTATGCAATCTAAATGTGCTGATTTTTATTTTCTTTCTTTTGTGCTTTTTCCTCTCATTTAGATGTCCTTTTCTTCATTGTTCATGATGGATATGAAATCTTACAGATTCATGTATTCCTGAGATGCTAGGATCAGATTTGACTATGTCATTTCTTAGAACACCTAAGTTTAAGTTTATTTGGTTAGAAGGAAATGCAGTGATGTAGCTCTTCCTATATGGAAACAGTTATTTTGGTATTTATTAAATTTTTAGTACATGAGTGTTCATTTCTGCTATATCTGATAACTATTCAGTAGAGTTAAGGGAGACTTAACCCCTTCTTTTTTCCCTAAAATTTCATTCCTATTTATTGAAAAGAACATAAAACTTCTGTTTGTTTTTACAAAGTATTGAATTCCTTCTGATTAGAGAGAAAAAAAGCAGACAACAAAAAACTCAAACTAAATCAGTTTTCATTGACCCTTTGCCCAAAACAAGTAAAGGCTGAACTTTTGACCTTAACATTTTTCAGTGATGCAGGTCTGTGAAAATAAAATGAGCTATTTAATGCAAAGATTGGTCTAAGGAAATGCCCTGTGAGGGGATATTTTTTTTGGTTGTTGTTTACTTGAAGCAGATAAAACACCCACCTTAAACCCACCCCATACTCCAATAAACCGTTTTCATTCCATCTGGCATGCGTTTGCTCTGAAGACATTTTCCTGTCAATCTCTCCCGCCACATTAAAAATCTGTCATTACTATTGCATTGCCGCCTGGCTCCTGAGATTTGTCTGACTGCTTTATTGCTCCTCTCATTTTTTTCCCTGCTACAGCCGAGAAGCAGAAATAAAGGTTTGTTGTTGAAACATGGCCGCAAGGAAAGTAGGAGGCACACATCTGTCAAGGTATTACCTTTCTTCAACCAGGGATTAAGGTGTTTTACTGCTCTCGCTACTGAGCAGTCACACTGAATAAATTTTCTCAGTGGAACATAAAAATGAACTCATATATTTTGAACCGGGTTTCATTCTTTCAAGCCAACCCAGATAATTATGCAATGGCATCAGTGTTCATGGGGAAAAAGAAAAGTCAGGAAGGATTTTTTCCCCTTGAAATTTGCATTATTTAAATGCTTATCAGGAAGACAAGACTGAGGCACCTCAGTATTGGGGAGGAAAATGTTTTCACTCATCCTTTTCCTTTTGCTGTTACTCAATCTCTTGCAAAGTCAGGTAGGGTACAGGACTTTAGTCCTCTTGTTTTGTCTATATGCTCTTAAAACATGCCTTGCTGTGAATATTCACTGTTAAATCACATGTAAGTAAACTGGACCCAAATTTTGATTTCTGATACACTGTCAGTCTGGAACCCTAAAGAAACTGACAATAACATTATCTGCCATGTATCCTGTCCCTTGCTGCTGGTGGAATGTAAATGGCCATCACTTGGTATAAATGAAACAAAAAAGCCTATGTATAAAGGTGGTTGTTATGCTAGATCAACGTGTGCAAAATTGTACTTCAAACCTACAACCACCAGAAATCTCTGGAATCATCTGAGTTCAGTTGATGACCTAGCTCACAGAAAAAAGCCGGGATTAACTTGAGGGCTAAACCTGATGTAAGTGAATGGCAAATCAGACCCAATATATTTGTTGAGCTAAACAAATGGTCCATAATTTTGATCTAGAAAAAAAAAAAAAAGAAGTGAATCTACCACAGAGAACCCAGAGACAGAAAGTCAAGCCTCACTATGGAAATCATGACTATTTTCCATTGAAGACTACAAATGCTTCAGCTTGGTATTCTTCCAAAGCCATTCTGACTAGAAGCACCAGTTACCCAGTACACCATGCCTGCATTTGACCAAGAAATTAATCTCTCCCTGTCTAGCAGAAGGGTACAACTCACAGAAGTCAAAGTGTGAACTCTATTTTTATGAGCAAGACATCCCAATTCGACTGAGGAGTAACAGGGAGCTTAATTTCTAGTGAATACCTATGCTTACAGCTGAACAAAAGCAAACAACCCGTCCACAAAGCTACCATCAGTCACTCACTTATTTTCATCAGCTCTATTTTCCCAGTAGATCTGTGAACTATACATGTCATTTAGATTCCATTTCCCCATCCTTTCTGTTCTATGTGGATGTCAATGTACCTTAATAATTTCTTCCCAACTAAAGCATAAGAAGAAGAAAGCATGATGAAATATAGCTGCCAACCTGAAGTCAGGTGGCACTATTGAATTGCTTCTTCCCCACATGAGAGCAAAGGAGCTAAAATGTATGTTCTTTGGCAAAAAGTTGTGGGTTTGTTCTGTGTTTGTACAGCACCTAGCACATGGCAGGTCTTTAGAGAAATAAATGAATGCATCTCTGTAAATGTAGATTCTATTGCCTCCTCCACAGTCCACCCCACACTTGCCATCGTCTCTCAGGATAGCCCTTCTCAGGATAGACATTTTTGCCTTCAGACTCTTGGTGTACTGCAGATATAGGTTTTAAGTGCTATCGAGAAAAGTTTCACTTGCTCTCTACACCAGGTGAATTTTGCAAGATTTGACTACCTCACTGAACCCTGTTCATCTGCTGATCTCAAAAAGACTTTTTTCTCTGGAAATGTTGGGTGGTTCCAATTGCCCAATTACCC